CGATTCTATGGTTACCCGAGTTCTTAGTACTTGCCAATTTTGACAAAATGTCGACTCTGCTATTTTTTCCTCAAGGAATATGAATGATTATCACCTCCTCAAATTCAGTCATAATTTCTCTCACTTTGCTCAAGTATTTCATCAGCAAAGGACCTTCGGCTTGATATTTACCATTAACTTGTGAAATGACGAGTTGGGAATTGCTGAAAACTTTAACTTTTTTTAGCCCCATGTTCTTTGACCTGCATCAATCCAGCTTTCAGGGCTTCATACTCTGCTTGATTGTTTAAAGTTAGAAAGTTCAAATGTAAGGAGTGTTCTATTGACACCCTTTATGGGCTTTCAACTATTATCCCGACTCCATTCCTTTTGTCGTTTGATGAACCATCAACACAGACCTTCCAAACGTCATCTTGTTCTACACTTCCTGTATTTGCTGGGACTTGCAAAGAGACATCTTTAAATTGGTTCAGATATTTCTGGAGAGTCTCCCCAGATTGTTGTCGAATTTTTCCAAGTCAAACTCGGATTTCGGATGCTTCTTGCTTGTTACAAAGTTCAACAAGAACTTTTCTCCAAAATCTTCAAAGGATCCAATCAAATTAGCAGGCAGGGTTGAGAACCATGTCTGCGCAGCTCTAGTCAAGGTTGTAGCAAATATCCTGGACATGATAGGCTCATCAATCCCCCGGATGTACATATCTGTGTCGAAAGCATCTATGTGGACTTGTGGATTCTGGTTTCTATTATATTTCGGCAAGTGTGCCGAGTCAAATTCCTTTGGAAATAGAGTATTAAGTATCTCTCCTGTGAAGGGACTATTATTGTACTGCCTCTTGCTACACTTCCTTCTATATGCACCAGTTTCACCACGTCCTTGGACGATATATGGAGGTTGGGTATCCCGATTGTGATGCGTATCACCCCAGTTACTCTCCACATTCCTCCCTGCCCTAGCATTCTGGGTAGGAATTATCATATTCGCGTCATGATTGGTGTCTTGGTTATAATTTTCAACATTATTATTGATTCAGATCTAACGATTTTGGTTTATAGTTGTTCCATCATTAGCTGCTCCTTGGACCTCAGCAACCCCAACCTAGATTTGAATATCCCAGATACGATTCATGTTCTGATTATTGCCATCACGGAGCTGAATGTTTTCTCCTTGAATTTCCCTTTCATCTCAAATCTGACCTCCATCATGGCCCAAACTCCTCGCCCGCATTAAGCGTTGCTCCATCTCTTGCATTCTTCTCATATTTTCTTCTTGAATTCTTCTGAAATCCTCCTGTCCATCGTGATTGGTGTCTTGGTTATAATTTTCAACATTATTATTGAATCGGATCTGACGATTTTGGTTTACAGTTGCTCCATCATTAGCTGCTCCTTGGACCTCAGCAACCCCAACCTGGATTTGAATATCCCAGTTACGATTCATGTTTTGATTATTGCCAACACAGAGCTGAATGTTTTCTCCTTGAATTTCCCTTTCATCTCGGATCTGACCTCCATTATGGCCCAAACTCCTAGCCCGCATTAAGCGCTGCTTCATCTCTTGCATTCTTCTCATATTTTCTTCTTGAATTCTTCTGAAATTCTCCTGTCGCTGGATGTTGTTACGATTCTCCATATCCTCTATCCGCCTTATGGTCGCAACAAATGTGTTTTAGGCAAGACGAGTATCTAGATCTACTATAAGAGCAACGCAGGCAATCGCATCTGCAGGATTCAGGGGAGGAGGATCTGTAACTCGATTTCGAGGAGGTGTTGAGGCAGTGTCCGAGACATCATCACTCATATGGACAACATCATAATTAACCTCATTCTCTGGTCAATTTTGAGCTTGATTTATTCCTTCCACCATAGGATCCAGTGGAAGGTTTGGGTGCTGTGGTTTGTTGACTGTTACTTCTTGTACGAACCGCCATTGTTGATCGTGATCTTGGGAATAACGAACTTACCAGGTTTCCCCACGGACGATGCCAATTTTCTATCTTAGAGATAGAGATGTCTAGCTCAATAGACTAGTTTGTTTCTTTTGAATCTAAGTGCCCTCTCTAAGGTATCTGTGAGTTAGATGCCCTTAAAGTCAAGCAGATCACTGTGCACAGAAGAATAATAAACGGCTTTGCCAAAAGGGGTCTGTGTGTGCACAATGACAGAATAACAGTAAGAGAGAGCGTAGCATACTTGTAGGCTTTACCTTTTATTTAGGGAGTTTACCTATGGGTATTGGATTCTGGACCTTCAGTACTTTTGATAATGGCCCATGCCCATATATTATGCTGTCGTATTAGGATTGATATCCTTGATGGATATATTTCCTTAACTTATATCTGATTTATATTTGGATTCCCCCTTGTTGGGCTTATCAATAGATGAGTCTTATATATGAGTCCATAATAAATCTGAAGAGGAGAGATAAATTATAAAGGTTAGTTGAGATTCTGATCAAACAGTGTTGGAGAGCGGTAGGTAAGGTAGATATGAAAAAAAGGTAGGTAGAATGACTTATCTCATCTAATAGAGTATTCTATCTATCTTTTTTCATGCCTACTTTACTTATCACTCTCAAATACTGTTAGATCAGAATTTCAAGATGATACAGAAATGATAAATGTAAGTTGAGATTCTGATATAATGGTGTTGGAGAATAGTAGTCAAGGAAAAAAACACTTTTGGTGCGATAGAGCACCGACTATTCGATGCAAAAATGCTATTATAACTATATACTATCAGTAGTACATAGTTATAATATTAAAGTTTTATTTTTTTCCCCATTTTTTTCTCTTTCTCCGGAAATTATGTGGGCTAATGTGTGCTTTCCCCATTGGTCGGTTGCACCCAATATTTCGTGCATCTATCACACCAAAAGTTTTCTCGTAAGATAGGCATATAAAAATGTAGGTTGAATAACTTACTCTTACATTAAGCAAAATCTTATCTTAAAATTGAACTTTCTTTCTAAAAAAGAATTTTGAAAAACATCATTTAAAAAAGTAGTTGATTTTAGAGCATGTCTGACACCTTTTTTTTAAGCTAAAAGTTACTTTTAAGTTAAAATTAAAAAAAATAACTTCAAAAAATAAAGCCAGTTGTTTAATGATTATATAAATTTTTTAATTTAAAAGTTATTAAAAGCTCAAATTAAAAATACGTTGATATGTTTACCAAAAAAAATAAGTTGATACAATTTAAAATAAGCTCCTATCACCCAAGTGTGGTGGCTCAGTTAGTAGCATAGGGACTGAGTGGTGGGAGAGGACCTCGGTTCGAATCTCACCAACACCATCTGGGGAGGGGCATAAGTACCATAATCCTTGGACTCGCACCCGAACTCTGGATTAGTCCCATAGGCGGCTCAAAGAGTCAAACCCGTGAAGATACCGGAGGGTTCTGATTCGCCTCAAAGAGGTAATTAGGATTAGTTTCCAAAAAAAAAAATAAGCTTCTATCAGGATCTTTTGACTTTTTGACTTTATTCTTCATTATAAAAAAAACTCTCTCTTTTTTTTGTAGGTAAAAAAATCTTCTTTTTTTTAGATACAAAAACTCTTTTTTTTTTTGGTAAAAAATACAAAAGCTCTTTTTATTATAAAAGGTTTTGTAAAAACTTGTTTGGCCTAACCTTTGCTTACAAGAGAAGAGAAACTAAAAAAAAAAAAACCCCTCAAAGAGATAACTTGCCCAATTAACAATGTTAATTTTTTTTTAAATACACAAATTTATATCAATTTAATATTTTTTACATATTTATTAATTTTCTATGTTTACTTTTCTTCATATTACTTTCTCTTTCTTTTTCTTTTTAATTTTGTAAAGAACAAATAGTATAAAAAAATAAGAAAAAAGTGGTTTACTCTTTTATCTCTTATATCCCTGTACTTTTTCTTATCAATTATTCTTGTGATTTTTTTCATTCAAATCCATATTTTAATACTGTTAGTAATTAAACTAACTCGTGTATTTTATTCTTATTTTATGTTTGTAGTTTTATTTATCAAAAAATAAATTTGACCCTAAAAATAAAAAAAGATGGCAAAGTCTAAAAAAGTAACATGTAACAAATGAAAGAACAATATTTGTTAGAAGGGGTGTCTAGAAAATTTTTGCCTGGGCCAATTTATAGCTACATGTAATAAAATAAAGAAAATCACATTAACAAAAAAAAAAAAAAAAACACTCAGAGGGCATTGCCCCAACATCAACATACAAATTAAGGCTTCTTTTATCTTTCTCTTCTTAGCTATACAATTCAATATTAATAGTACATTACTATACATCATATTTTTTATATATTTCTTATAATTTTTTATATTCGAAAAGAGAAAAACGTTGATATATATATATATATATATATATATATATATATATATATATTATCAAAAAATATAATATAAAATTATAAGAAAATAATATAAGTGACATGTAAATAATATTGTTATAATAACAAAAAAAGAATAAAACGATAGCTGCATGCCAAACTATGGGGAATTGGTTCATGAATAATAAAAGAAATCCCTTTATTCAAGAGTGATTACATTCAAAACTTCAAATTTTAACCTTATATTTTTCAGGGATGTTCTGTCTATTCTATAAAACTTTTGAAAGGGACATTGCGCATAATTGTTCTTCATATATTTATAATGAACCTAAATTTCGCTTATTTATTGTTGGTGCCCAAATTTTTTAAATCTAATTAATTAATAAATAAAATGGGAATACAATAGATAAGTTAGTTCAATTACTAATAGTATTAAAGATGAATTTGGATGAAATAAAAGCACAAGAAGATAATTGATAAGAAAATAAGCATAGAAATTTAAATGATAATGTTAATTGTGAGTTATGCCATTAATTTCACAAAAAATTATTGAAAGTCTATTGAATACAAGCATTGTCTTCAATAAAAAATTAAATAAAAAAATAAAGGAAAATGCGGCTATAATATTAATACAATATTACGAATGTCCTGGGGGCGTGAAGAACAAGACGGAGAGAAAAACGAGAGTTACACAAATTGGGATATGACTCCGAAGTCCAAATTGAGCTCAAGATCGTAGTTTCGACAAAATTCTCCCAAGTTTTGTAGTTTAATCGAGATGGACTCAATCGTTGGTGATCAGGTTAATGATTTGGAGGGTTTTAGGGGTTCTATTGATGAAATTCTTACCAGAGTTCACAAGGTGAACTTGATGTTGCAATTCCTTTTTTAATTTTTTTAATGTGATACCTACCAATTACCATATGCTAATAATACTTGTTGTCTGCTTTGTCTCATAACATAAAATCTAATTATTCCATTGAGGCGCAGGGCACTGATAAGGGTATGTATCCATTAGATATAGGACTAATCCTGAGTCTGAGTTGGATGACAATTATTCAACTACGGATCCAAAGATTCTCTCTCTCTCTCTCTCTCTCTCAGTATTCGAACCTTGCCCTTGGCGATTCATCCGTCCTTCGGAACTTATATTGCCACTTGAGTTAAGCATAAGTTAGTTTAGCTGCAATGTACTGATTTTGGGCATTTTGGTCTTTTATCATTAGGGCAGGACCAGACTCTTCTAAATAAACCGGTGTTTTGTATATGTAGATTTTTCAATTTAAAAGGATTTTTTTTTAATGTTTGAATGTTTGATGCTAAGTGTGTATTTTCTGCCATGAATTTGTAGGCTTATTGGTATTTATAAGTTCTGAACAGTGAAATTCTGAGAAAAAAATAACCTTGTAGTGCCCTGTGCAGATTGAGAAGCAATTGGTCGAGGTTGAACAGTTCTGTAATGTTCAAGTTAATAATTCTAAAGGTTGCTCTGTTGTAAAAGAGAAGGGTGGGGAGAAGCATCTTGTTGGCACTAAAAAGCCGCCGCAAGATTCGTCCCGAACAGAAACTGCTGCTGCAAAGAGAATGCAAGAGCTTATGCGCCAATTTTCCACAATATTGCGTCAGGCATGTGCAAACACTTTGCAACTTTTTGTGTTTTATTTTATTTTAATTTTGATGATCTATATGAATTTACTTTCTCCTGGATCTCCTTATATTTGGATTTCATTTTACTTACAATCATGATTTGAACTTGGCATTTCTGTAGTTGTCCGCCATAAAATAAATTTGTTTTGAGTGTACCTTTTGAGGGATACTGAACATTTTCAAAATCTCAAAACTGGGTCTTATAGGAACTCGTAATCCTATTTTTTGCTGTCATCTTTATCCCAGATTAAGCTTGTTTATACTGGCAATCTACTTTTTAGTTTTTATTGGTCAATTATTATTATTTGTTTAGACTTGTAGGGCAGATGGGGCCTGTATTGAAATTCCTATAGTTGTCCTTAACTAGGTTCAGTTCACCTACTATACACATTTGTCCTGTTACCAGAGTGGCTCTATCACTCTCCACTGGTCCCTACCTCCTATTACACATCCTTAAGCTTGCCCCACCTGAATATCTGACTGATTACTCATTTTTAGGATTTCCTCTGTGACATTTACATCCTTTACCTTCCCTGCAGCTTGGATTTCCAACTATTACTTTTTTTGTCTGTCTCTTCCATTTAATCCTGATCTTTGCTCTGAATGGTTTTAGTCTTATTGAAAATTTGGCATTTGATAGTCTATTTAAACTTCAATTTATTGGGATTTAGGTATAGATGGAGCAAAATGAATACTCAGAATAATAAAACTATATTGATATTGTTATGAAGGATATGTTAAGATGCAATACAAACTACAAAGCATTAATCCTCATCTATATCAATATTAGACTCCAAATCCTAATTTAATAAGGAAATAAATCATGAAATATAAAGAAATAAGGAAACTATTCCTAAGAGATAGTCTAAGATACTCTAAAGTTTTCATAGATATAATCAATATATTATGAGATATTTTCCATATATTCCAATAGAATCCAATGGGGTTTGATTGATTCATGTAGCCTACCCAAGGCTTGGTTGTTGTTGCTTCCATTTATCTTGACTTGAGCAAAGATTGTCAAACTCGTGGAACCATCATATACTCAACTCATATGCTTGGCTACTACAAAATAAATGACCTTCTCCCCTTTTCTGTTGAATATATTGACCCTACCAAATTTCCTGCGAAAACTCAGTAGTGATGTATTTGAAGCTTCTCAGATTACTCAGCATAAATGGGCTTGGCCCTTTCTGGATCCTGTAGATGTAGAAGGTCTTGGGCTTCACGACTATTATGAGGTAATGCCATTCCTTCTTTTTAAAGCTTTTCTCTTGGTCTAGACTATAGTTATCTTTTATGCATAATTCTCATTTTAATTTTTTTGTCTTGCCTATAACCAAATATGTTCAACATACTTTGTTGGTTTGGCGTTTCTCAAAGTGACTGGTTTCGCTAGTGGACCATCTATCTTTTATAACAGAGTTATTTGTTTACTGTTTGTCTTTGATTGTGTCTCTAAAAATATTTGTTTAATTTTCTGCCCTAGGTTATTGATAAGCCCATGGATTTCAGTACGATAAAAAGTAAAATGGAAGCTAAGGACGGCAGTGGCTATAAGAATGTCCAGGAGATATACGCAGATGTAAGGTTGATATTTAAGAATGCAATGAAATACAACAATGAAAAACATGATGTCCACGTTATGGCAAAGACATTGCTGGAAAAATTTGAGGAGAAATGGCTGCAACTTTTACCTAAAGTTGCTGAAGAGGTAAATCAATTTCCAAAATAGTTTCCTTTATTTTGAAGAAGCTTTCTTACAGATATTTTAAGGGACTGGGTCTAAAGTTCATGGTCTTATTGGAGGGGTTTCCCTTATAGACATGGTTGTCAATATCGCAATCCTACCAATTTGGAGGGATGCAGCAATCTCGATCCCAGGACAAACTCATTTCTGTCTTGATTGTCCTGGGATCACAGCCCAGCATGTAGAATTAGAAGGAGGATCTTACAATCCAGGCGAACCCAACAGAACTAAAAAATGCACTTGGATGAGCAGCCAAATTTTAGAAAATACCCATCCCAAACCCAACATGAAACTATCTCAAACCAAGAATCCCTGTCCCAGTCACTGCTGTGATCTTGCTTTAACTGAAATTTGTGATTAAAATTTGATAATGTTGTGTTTGAAGTGGCAGAGGATTGCTCACATGTGAGATGATGCCTTACCTTGTTGTTACTGCTGTGACACCCTTGGTCTCTTGCTGCTGTGCTACTTGTGGATCTGTTGGTGTTGGCAATGGAAAGGAATGGGAAAGATAAGAGGAACCCCCACTTAGTAAAACACATTTTTGAACTCATTGTTTTTTTACTTTTTCTTTTTTTCCATTTTACTGAGATACTAGAGAAAGGGCCACAAATGTTAGCCCAAATTAATTATTACTCAATATAAAAATAAGAATATACTATGATTGAAGATCTAACAAATTTAAAATAAGAAATAAAAGTAAAAAGGAACTTATTATGTATTTTGAATTCAGGTTTATTTAAGCATTGGTTATAATTTTAAAGGTATTTTGGCTAATGTGTTATGTAAAGAACCAATTCAACCCAAAATCTTAAGTTATTGGGTGAGAGTCTCTTTAATGGTTTATATTATACTCTAACACGCCCTCTCACAAGAGAGCCCATTGGGCTTGAAAGGTGGATAATGCATCAGGCGCAGCCTACTTATGCTAAGAAATTTCACAAAGAAAATGGGGGGCAGCGAGGATCAAACTCGGGACACTTGGCTCTAGTACAATGTAAAGAACTAATTCAACCCAAAAGCTTAAACTATTGGGTGAGGGCCTCTTTAATGGTTTATATTATACTCTAACATGTTATATACATACATACCTCATATATATATCGACACATATATATTAGAGGTAGGATCTTCCGTTCCATGTTACATCCTATGTTTTATATGTCCACTCCCCCTATCCGATCCTAGGTGGGAATCAAGTTTGACAACCTTGCTTACAGATATGTAAAGGCACAAGGTAGCTTTGCTTTATTGTGTTTTTGATTTTGGTTTTTGGCTTTTTTGGTTATATTTTGTTTGTATTTCTTTTTTTTAAGGAGGATCTCTTAGCCTGCTATCTCATCGTATTCATCTTCTATTTATCTTAATGAATTTCTTCTTTAAAGAAATAAAACTCTTACGTACAACTAAGGAGGTTGCACTTATAGTGACCGCTGATATTTTGGTCATCCTATGTAATGTGTCTTCACCTTGCCATATTTGATTATGTCAGGAAAAGAGACAGTTAGAGGAAGAAGCACAGGCACAACAAGACATGCAGCTTTCTCAGGAAACCAGTTATGCCAATATGGCTAGGGATTTAGGCATTGAGGTTAGTTACTGTTTTCTAGTATTGTGCTTTTCAGTGCCATTAAAATCATTTGTTAGCTACCACTTCGGAGAATATCAGATGGTTTGCACTCAACTACCTGTTTTTTCAGCTCTCTGAGATTGATATGCATTTGAAGAGTCTCAAAGAAATGGCGATTCAGAAGTTCAGGTTTGTGAAAAAAAATTCTTCAGCCTTGTCACTAAGGTCAAATTGCAGTGTAAATATGTTATTGCATCTGTATGTTTCATGTCCTATTACTATTGTTGAGGTTTGATTTTTATTGAAGTCTTGGCTATTGTGACAAGATGATTGTTATTGAACTGGACCAGAATTTAGGAATTTCTGAGGAAAACAGATGAATTTTTTTTGGGTTAGAGATATAATATATAAAACCATTATTGTGGTCTCTTAAGCTTTTAGGAAGAATTGGTTCTTTATATATCAGAGTCTGTGAGACTATGACCAAGTGGTCACGAATTCAATCCTCATCGTCGTTATGTTCTAATAAAAACAAAAAGTTCAGTACAAGTTAAACCAAAAAAAATGGGTCGGTGTGTTGTCCACATTTCAAGCCCAAAAGCTCGTTCGTGTGGAGATGTGTTAGAGATATAATATATAAAACTATTAATGTGATTTTTACTTGACAGCATAAGTTTTTTGGTTGAATTTATTATTTACATATTGATATAAAGAAAAAGAATAATTACGGTGGCTGATATCCAGGAGTTCGAGAGCTTGGTCTCTCCCACTCCTGCACACACTCAAGTCTTAACACCCGATAATCCTTCTCTCTGTCCTCTGTTTTCCTTATATCCTAACTACAGCTCATTTACAGAAGTATCCTCCAAATATCCTGAAATCCTACTTGTAGTATCTAACGATATACCTTAAATTCAACTAACTATTAATTACAGTTTCACTTTCCAAAACTACTGTTTGTCATTTCCAACTGTAGAGATCAGGAACCTATTTCCAACAGGAAAGAAAAGGGGCTTAGAGATCTGGCTTACAGTCTGGTTATCAATTAGGGAAATAGAAGATAAGCTTCTATTATTAAGAAATTCTGAGTTAATCATGTTGCACTCTACAAATTCTCTTTATGTAGGATAAAAACCGTAATTTAAAAGAAATCCTAGCCCTTAAAAGGATATTGATGGACCCCCAATGTTTTGAACCTCAGGAGATCCGTTTAGGGTATTATTAATTGGCCCAACTTTGTCCAGGCCTATTTCACCCTCCACCCACAGATGCGTTGTGTCTGTTTTCCACACTAGCAACCCTATTGGGTAGGGCTATTCTGGCATAATTGGCTCTGTTTAACCTCGGCCCATTACCCTTCTTCCCCACCATCATCCCTAATCTCCCTAGCACTGTCTCTCTTTCCTCTATTCGTTGAGCTAAGGACATCAAGTTTTCTAAGTCTCTCAAATTATGCAGACGGATTTCTGCACGAATCTCTTCCCTCAGCCCATTAATGAATGCAACTTGCATCATTCCATCATTAGCATGACGGAGCAGCGCTGCCAACAATTCAAAGTTCTCTCGATACTCCACGACAGACCTGTTTTGTCGAAGGCACATGAGAGCCTCGTAGGGGTTCCTTGAAGAGGTTGAATGAAATCGTTGCAGCACAGCCAAGCGAAAATCATCCCAACGGATGGTCTGGTTCCTAGGTTCCACCATTGGAACCAGTTTATAGCTCTTCCTTCCAGACAAACTAACGCCATTTCCACCTGTTCTTCCATGGGGATCTGATTTATTCGAAAATAACGTTCCGCCCTGTAAATCCATATGGATCATCCCCAGCAAAGTACGGGACCTCCACCCTCCGCATTCTTTCCTCCTCACCTGCATTCCCCACGATACCTCCACCACTTGCGACTCCTCCATTCTCCCATGTTCCATTGCCTGTAACTCCTCCGTTCTCCCCTGCTCCACCTCTATTGTGTCCCTACCTATCCAAGAGTTGCTTCAGTCGATCAATAAACTGCATCAACATAACGTTTAATTTCTGAATCGAATTTTCCACTCCCACCAGACGACCATCAATTCCACCGGTGCTTTGTTCGATCTGTCCCAACCTCTGCTCGATTTCTTCTACTTTAGCCTCCATGCGTGACCTTACCATTCACCACGTTTTCTTCTTTTTTCTTTTTTCTTTTTTCTTTTCAGGATCAAGAGCTTTGATACCAATTTGATAGATAATTAGCAATGTAACAGTAAAAAATCATAGATAATTAGCAAGAAAATACTTCTATTGATGCAATGAGGAAATGGAGATAACTCCTTTATAGATACAACGATAATGGTGAAATAAGAACAGAACAACACTGACTCTTCACCTTAGTTACAGACTTCACATGTAGTAGCACACCACTAATACAGGACACAGAATTAAGACTCTCAACACTAATGACAATATAGAAATGATAACAGTAATCAGAACTCCCTCAACAAGGCAATCCACCACCTCATTGAGCTTCCCTTTCCAACCCCGCTATTGCAATATTCTCAGATACCCCTCATGTCCCCTTCTTTCCCCCTTATAAACTAACTCTCCATTCTCCACACCATCCACACTTCCCTCGCCATTTAGAGCCACTCACGTGTCCATCCTCCTAACAAACTCCTCCTTTTCCTTCTCTATCAAATTCCCCTCCTCCGCAGTTACACGCTCCTCCTTGGATTTGGTATGTTGATTACTCTCTTCATTGGGCTTGGGTTGGTTTTAGGCCTCACTGCCTTTACCTTTATTTTTCCATCTTCTTCCTCTCTATACTCGAATTGGGGGGTCCATCAGATATAAACCTTGCTTTCTTTAGTAACTATAACCAAAAAGAACAAAAAAACATTGTATAACAGTCTAACATAGCTGCAATAACCTGCTACGGTAATGTGAACAATATTTGCAGTACTTTACTGAGCATTTGTCTACAGTAGCCCAAACAGCAATCTAATGTTTCATTTATAATTGACTGTTTGGTGCTTTAAATGCCTGATTTGTTTTTAAATGGTATACTGTTAATTTTGCACTGCTATGTGCATATTTTGCACTGCTTACTGTTGCTCTGACAATATCGTAGGAAACTGTCTACTCGAGAGAAGAAAATGCTTGGGATAGCTCTCGTGAAATTGTCTCCTGAAAAGGTCGACAGGGCATTGGAGATAGTTGCTGAGAATAACCCAAGCTTCCAATCTACTGTTGCACAGGTGGACCTCGACTTTGAAGCTCAGGTCTGTAATGTTAATTGTATCTAGTTAATAATGTTCACTGTCATGCATTTTCAAATTCTTTCCATCCTATCCTATTTAAGTAATTTTTTTGTTTAGCATGTTTCTAGCTTCACATAATTTTATCCCTAATGTATACAGAGCAACTACACTTCGTGGAAGTTAAAGGTTTTTGTAAAAGATGCACTAGAAGTTCAAGGAAACATTTCTGGGGTCGTAGCTGTTAACCATAATGATAACAGTGACGACAAGAAAAACAACTTCAAAAGGAAGAGAGAATTTTGTGATTCTTATGCCAAGACAAATGTAAAAAGGACTAGGAAACTATCTACTCTCTGATTCACTAGTGTGATTGAGCCAAAGTTGTTGATTGTCGTATACCTGATTGTTGATTTATTTGATTGCATGGTGTGGAATTATCCTCCTTTTTTTTGCCATTTAAAGATTGCCATATTGGTAATTTAGCATACTTCTGAGCAAAGTATGGTTACATTATGAGTTAAGAAACGATTTTAATCATAATTTTCAGTAGATCTTACGTCATTGTGAAGATAAAATTGTTGTCAATATATCATCCAAGGCAGAACCGAACAAAGTGAAACCTCTTTCGAAAATCCACTGCCAAAACAGGATGATGTTCGTTAATTCTTATTGTGGAAATCGCAAAGAAATTCATTTTAAGCACGTCATATAATACTTGAGATTCTAACTATTTAGCGTCAGATTACAATAATCTCCCTTCAAATTACTTGAATGATGTAAATAATAAAATTAGAAACTACAAATTTTATATTGGCGTCAATTCAATTCAAAAATTTAAATTATTAGGTGAAAGTTATGTTAATGATTTTATATTATACATTTCTCATCACTAGAGCCCATTAGGTTTGGAAGGGCGGATAATGTATAGCTTTATTTAGCTATGCTAAAAAATATCATAATATTTGATTACTGAATGAATCTTAAATTATTAAATAAAGGTTATATTAATGGCTTTATATCATACTTTTTCAACATCATCAATAACATATTTATCCTAATTTAATTGGGGTCGGTGGTAGACGAACGCAAATAAAAGATACGAAAGGGTGAAAAAAGATAAAAATAAAAAAATAAAAAATAAATAAAATTACTAATAATATATATATATATATATATATATATATATATATATATATATATATATATATAAGTGATATAAAAGAAGAGGGGGAGATGAAGAGGAAAAAGGACTAAAAAGAGACCCTCTAGAACATAAGAATAACAACGAGTCTAACCCTCCACCATGTATATAGATTTTCTCCATTTCGTTCAAAGGCACACCATCCGCCAATCTATATTCCATTAAGTCTTGCTTTACTACCTTCCTCCAAGTAAGTTTCGGTCTACCTCTACCTTTCTTTGTGTTGAGCTCTTGGTAACAAATTTTTGTTCTTACGGGAGCATCCAGGGACCTTCTTATTACGTGCCCAAACCACCTCAGTCTATGTTCTCTCATCTTTTCAGCCACTGGTAGTACTTCTACCTTTCGTCGAATATCTTCATTTCTCATCTTATCCATTCTCGTATAACCACACATCCACCTTAACATCCTCATCTGTGCTACTCCCATTTTATGCTCATGTTGCCTGTGTGCTGGCCAACATTCAGCTCCATATAGCATTGCAGGTCTTACTGCTGTTCTATAGAATTTTCTTTTTAACTTAAGGGGGATTTTGCGATCACACAAAAACCCATATGCACTACGCCATTTCATCCACCCTGCTCTGATTCTATGATTTACATCCTCATCATCTCTTCACCTTTTTGCAAAATGGATAGGTACCTAAAAGTATCTTTCTTGGGTACCTCTTGGCCAAGTAAGTGCACGGGATCTTGGTCTTCATCTCTTGCCAGAGAAAACTCACTTCAAATACTCAGTCTTGCTCCGACTTAATGTGAGTCCTTTAGATTCCAATGTGCTTCTTCACAATTCAAGTTTTCTATTAACATCTTCTTTGTTCTCATCAATAAGCACAATATCGTCTGCAAAAAGCATACACCATGGCACTTCCTCTTGAATATTTCTTGTTAGTTCATCCATTACTAAGGCAAAGAGATAAGGACTTAGAGCCGAACCTTAGTGTACACCTACCGTGATAGGAAAATAACTTGATGTTCTATTACAAGCTTTCACACAAGTAGTAGCCCCATCATACATATCCTTGATTGCCTTTACATACTTTGATGGTACTTTTTTCTTCTCAAGGACCCACCATAAAACATTTATTGGAATCCTATCATATGCTTTCTCAAGATCAATGAACACCATATGTAAGTCCTTCTTCTTTTCTCGATATCTTTTCATTAATTGTCGTATCAAGAAAATGGCTTCCATGGTACATCTTCCTGGCATAAATCCAAATTGATTTACAGAAACCTTAGTGTCTCTTCTCAAGCGATGTTCAATAACTCTCTCCCACAACTTCATAGTATGGCTCATTAGATTAATGCCTTTATAGTTAGAACAATTTTGTATATCTCCCTTGTTTTTGTAAATAGGACAATTTTGTATATCTCCCTTATAATCATACTTTTTCAACAATGCCATAAAAATATGGGTTTGGTTTTTCTCATGTTGCAGGAGACAATTTATCTCATGCAACACGTACAAAAATAGGTGGGACCCACTAAGAAGGAGAGAGAGAAAGAAAGAAAAAGTGGGTCTCATCTACTTTTTTGTGTGTTGCATGAGACAAATTATCTCACGCAATATGAGAAACACATTTCCCTAAAAATATTTACATATCACATGAAATTTATATATTAAAAAATGTATACAATCCCATGAAATCTATATAAGAACATTCACGTAAACAAATAAATTTTTAAAAATAAAAGTTTATTGGTCGGCTAGTTTAGACTTTTTTTTATCAATTGTAGTTATTAAACTAGTCTAGGTGAGTGTTATTGTGTTCAGGCACCATAGGTTGGTTGGTCAAATTAAAGCGGATAAGATTTCTTAAAATACATTTTTTTAAAATGTATAAATTTCACTTTGATAAGAATTTGATGCATGTAGATATAAAATATGTTTTGATAATAATGTGACAACAACAAAGAGAAAATATTTTGATCATGAGTAAAAATAATCAACCTTGTGTGAAAATTGAAGATATACGATGGAGACTATAACATCCCCATATGTAACCGATTAGTTATCATACATATGGTTCAAAATGCAGCATAACTAAATGCCTAAGCGGAAGACTTACTTAAAATTAGCAAAGCTACATCATATAAATAACGAATAACTTTTTTCTTTTTAATTATCTTTACATATTGCCAAACATAATTCTTTTCTAATTTATAAATATCTGTACAGTCTTATATGTACACAGGCCTTACAATTAATTATTGAATGACCATTCTTGACAGTCAATATCTATCTGAATACGATATCCTGTACCATTCTAGATAAATCACACAGTAGCATAACTGTTGTAAACTGGATTAACCTGGGATCAATTCCCATCAAATATTTTACACCTGTAAAACAACAAAGTCCAATTTAAACATACAGAATATGGCTCCGTGCCATTCCTGATATCATTCCTAATATAATACGTACATACCTGTTTATGAACACATCATAAACCTACTGTACACACACACACACACACACACACATATATATATATAGATGACATAATATATATATATAAACATGTCCATATGTCATGCTACCAAAAATATATACATTCATCCTCTTAACAGAGAACCAAAACATATATATACATATATCCAAATCGCTAGCTAATGCATCAGACACTCTAGTCCTGAGCACACAAGCAAATGTCCAAGTGTATACACTATAGATGATGTTATTGATTTATTTAATGGTAGATAGTATATTGATTATGTTGTGATATATATATATATATATATATATATATATATATATATATCACAACATAAATATATATATATACTACTATTATGGGGGACGCCTCATGTGTTGTTGTAAAACACATTTTTAGAGCCGTTATATACAGAAATGATTTAGACACCAAATGGACTAGGTTCATTTGTGATCTGATGTGGACACCAAATGGTCTAGGAACCTAACCGATTTGCACACTAGCAAATGTCCAAGTGTATACATTTTTTCTTAGTTGCCTTTTTGATTATTTAAACTAACTTCTCATTGGTCCATTCTTTCAAGACTTTTCAACCTTAATTCTAGTTGGTAGATTTTAATCAAACTTTGACCTTCATGTAATTAAAACTCTAAGGTTGCACATATATCACTCTTGCATCGAAAATCATGTAAAGAATTCACAAAGTTAAGTTACATTACTAACTTGTTAATTTACATCATTTCTTATTGGTTATTTAATTTCTATACTTTGACTTAATTTTAAGAATTAATCTAGACATCATCTAATTAAATTAAGGTACTTTGAATCTATGAAATTTGCCACACAATTTAACTAAACCATCTAAATTAAGTTTTGACCTAATCTTGGTCAATTACCAAACCAACCCTAATTTTTACCATAATGACATCTACGTCCTTAAATATATTCCATACTTTTATAATTGGGTCTTATTAGACTTGTTTGGCACGAACTGTATTTTTTGAATTAGTTATCATGTCAATTACATGATTTATCGTTCACTCTTTCCTTAATTTTGTTTGATTCACTTAAACACCAAACAGGCGTGAATATAGGCAGAATGTTCTTCACTACTGAAAGAAGACTAATACCAAAAAACTCATGAGCTGAGGAATCAGATTTGGCAATGAAAGAGACCTAAACAAGTCCAAAAGACAAAGTCTCGAGCCTAGAACACAGCTTGTTTAACAATGGATCAGTAGATCTATTCCTTTTGCTTTAAACACTGTTTCGCTCATCCTAAACACTTGTAGTGTTCTTCAATTATTGTACCATATATTTTCTGCATTACCTTTGGTTATGGAACATCCATTATAACACCTCGCACTTCTAAAATATGTATTAATATAGTAAATACGGATTAAAAGGTAGGATTAGTGAAAATCCTGAAAATTAGGTCAAAATACAAAGGAAGGGTAAAACAGTAATTAGCCAAACACGTAACCCTAGGAAGGTAAAATTGAGTAAGAGGACTCAAATGATAAAAATAACCCTGAAAATAGATTCAGAACTAAAAATTGAGTGGATAGGCAAGTTTCAGAAAATTTGGTGAATAGTATTTTTACCGGGTAAAATACCGCAGTACAGTTGCACTGTAAAGCGTGCTGATAGAATTTTGAGCTCTAGGTTTGAATATAAGTTATAAATGGTGTATAGGACTAGGAAATATGATTTCTGATAAAGTTTGACAGAAAATAGTAAGATTGGGGAAGCGTGCCTACGGTGCATGTAACAGCTTAAAACTGCAATTTCTCCGAACGACCAGAAAACTCAAGATTCATCTGA